GTAACAGGAAGGAAGGGAAAACAGCAGGGAGAATGGGAGAGAAGGAGGGAGAGAACGAAGGAAAAGCAGAGACGGAGAAGATGGAGGGAGAAGTCTGCTTTGCTGCTTGGAAGCAGCGAATAGGACTCCTCATTCCCACCTTCCTACATTAAAAAACTTTGGTTCTACTCTATAAATTCTATAAAACACGTTTGTAACTTAATTACAGGGGCCTAAAACATAATAATAGGCTTGTCCATCAATCACACTTGTTATTCAAATTGCTCTTTCACCTGAGTGAGGAAGACTTCTTTTGTGAGGGACATGGCCCTCACAAGAGGAAGGAAAATGAAGGAAGAGATACAGAATATTCAGGGAATATTGAAGAAGATAAAAATTAGAAAGTTTTCAAGGGCCGTAAATGCCAAACTGGGAGCCTGAATGTCACTCTTTATCCTGTTTTGACTTAAGGAAGGACAGTAAATTCTGAACAGGACATCTTTGCATATGCTGTTCCCTGTGCCTGCAATGGTCTTGTCTCCGGCCCTCACTCCTGGCACGCTACTCCCCTTTTCTCGGTAGAGCTGGCTCCTTCTCATATTTGACTTAAATGTTTACTTCCTCATGACACCCTACACGTGTGATCCATTCCCTCCTCACTTTTTAATAAAGCATCTGTGATTTGTTTCTATATAATTAATTAAACCACCAAGTGTAACGATGTGTTTATTTATCTGCCCAGCCTCCCCACTGGCACAAAGTGTCACAAAGTTAGGGACCATGAGTTTCTTTACAATGTTTCCTTAAAAATAATGACCATCTCTATCCAGCATTCATATCCCCATCCAGCCAAATCCTTCCCTCTCTTCCAGACCCAAATCAAGTCCATCTCTTCCAGGAAACTGTTCCCCCCTTTCTGTCCACGACGCATCAAGAAGAGGAGAGGGCAAGACAAAGACCCTTATAAAGCATCTACCTTTTTAAGCAGGCAAAGAAGAGAGACAGAACCCTGGGAAAGAGCGGAACAGAACAACTCAACGTCCCTGACCCCAAGAGAAAAGAGAGTTTCAGATAGGAGTTGGTAAACAGCCTTAGAAACTGCACAGATGCAGAATGGGCTGTGAACAAAAGCTTTTCCACTTGGAGATCACCACTGATCTTTAAGAGAAATTTGCAAGACATACTGTATGATCTCACTTATATGTCAAATCTAAAAAAAAACAAAAAAAGCTCTATGGATACAGAGAACACATTTGTGGCTGCCAGAAGCAGGTCAAAAAGTCCAAACTTCAAGTTATAAAATAAATGTCATGGGATGTAATGTACAGTACGCTGACTATAGTTAATAATAGGGTATTGCATATTTGACAGCTGCTAAGAGAGTAGATCTTAAACGTTCTCATCACAGGAAAAAAATTTGTAACTACGTGTGTTAACTAGACTTACTACGGTGATGGTTTAGTAATATATCCATATATTTAATTATCATGTCATACACCTGAAACTAACATAATGTTATGTCAATTATACCTCAATTTTTGAAAGAAAAGGAACATTAAAAAAAAAAAGAGGATGCTTCATCGGGGTGATAGGGTTGGAAAGCAAATTGTCAGGGTTCAAGAGTGCGCTTTTGAAAAGCCAGGAAAAAAGAAGAAAAAGGAGAAGGGAGGAGGAGGGGGAGGGGGAAAGAGGGGGAGGAGGAGGGAGGCGAGAGAGGAAAGGAAGAAGAGGAGAAGTAGCTTGTGTCTGAGGAAGAGAGAGATGTGGAGAGTTGACAAAAGAAAGATTAAAAACATAGGGGCGGGCTTCCCTGGTGGCGCAGTGGTTAAGAATCCACCTGCCAATGCAGGGTTCGAGCCCTGGTCCGGGAAGATCCCACATGCCGCGGAGCAACTAACCCCGAGCGCCACAACTCCGAAGCCCGCGCGCCTAGAGCCCGTGCTCCGCAACAAGAGAAGCCACGGCAATGAGAAGCCCGCGCACCGCAACGAAGAGTAGCCCCCGCTCGCCGCAACTAGAGAAAGCCCCCGCGCAGCAACAAAGACCAAACGCAGCCAAAAACAAATAAAAACAAAACAAAACAAAACCCATAGGGGCAAGACGGTGCTGAACGAGGTTGGGAGGGAACTGTTAGTGATGTGTTGTTAAAGGAAGCTTCAGAACTTCCTTACAGAATTGCCAAGACCGCATAAGGCAGTAACCTAACTTCACATTTGCTGTTTCCTCACATGTTGGAACAATGGCAGAAAGCCATAGAAGAGAAGACGGCAATAAGGTCTCTGTCAATAAGACACTGAGGCCTGAGCACAAAACCAGCTGCGAGGGGAGGGTTGATTGTACCGCAAAGCCCAAACCCACCCTTCCACCTTCTCATGAGGTCTTTACCAAAATTCATCTATATGGCTCTCGCTCATATCCCTGAGAAAGGGATTTGCAAAATCTTCCCCCATAGCATCGCAGAATTCCAGATCTGGAAGAGACATTAAACATTATCTAATCATCCACCACAATGGACCCAAATCAAGGATGATGTTTTCCTTTCCCTATTGTAGTTTCCTTTTTTCTCTGCAGGATAATATTTCTTTTAATAAAGTTCACTCTTCAACCAAAATATGACAGAGGCATAGCCGATAAATAGAATGTCTCATCTTTCCGTCTCTGAGTCTCTAACTGGTTTAATAATTCACTCCCTCTCAGTGCCTTAAAAATGGAGCTTTTATCTTTGAATCCATCTATAAAACCATCTCTTCTCCTCCCACTTGCTAAATGGACTCCATTTATCACTCATTTTATGGGCGCTTATCTACTCCAAGGGAAGTCTGATCAGATAACCTGGTCCTTAGAAAAGCAGAGGAAGATTGTTGGGAATGGCTTCTATTGTTTGAGAACCTCTCTTTGATCTGAAATTTTTAGGAAGTTTATAGGATGTCTCCAGGGTGTTTTGCATTTGTGATAGCCCAGGAAATGATTACCTCGGTCTCAGAGTCTGGAGAGCCTTTGCTAAACGTGTTCGCTGGATCCAACCCTTCAGGATGATTTGAGAATGAGCTTAATCCCCAGTCCGAGACTGAACATTCCTGGTTTAATGTTGTGATATAATATGACAGATTTATACATTGCTCTGACATAACGAAATGCAACGAGATGAAGTGTTTTATTTACACAGTAACCTCTTATTTCAACAGCTCACTGACTGTCGTATAGGCTTTCTTGGCCTTGTAGAAAAGGCCCCAGGAAACATCCCTGTGAGCCTTGCAGCACAGCCTCACCAGTTCACAAAGACCAAAGCACTAGGCCAGGAAGTCAGGAAGGAAGAAAACAACAATATAAACAAACAAGAAAAAAACCCAGGAGGCCTGGGCACATCTACTCCTCAAAGGCACCCATACAGCTCTCGGCTGCCCAGGTGGCCTCTCCTCTATCCGGATACAGAGACCACAGAGTAAATGTTTGTTGAATGAATCCCTTCGCAGGTTCGGCACTCACTCAACAAACACGGTTGATCATTCCTTCAGTGAACACTGTTCCCTCTAGGAGAGAAGAGGCAGTAGTACAAAGATGAAAGGGGTATAGCTGTGCATTCAAGGAGAAGGCAGCCTTGTGAGGAAAGCAGACACTTAAAATCGAAGTGCTGTGCCCTACAGGAGCAGACATACTGTGTGTTAGGGAAGGGGATGCAGAGAAGAGATTCAATCCTGGGGTAGCTGTAGAAAACTCTAGAGAATCATCTCAGATGAAAATCATTTCAGCTGTTATGGACCAAACTCATAGGACTCAAAGTCAGCTCCCCAGGTGGAGAACATGGGGAAAGATTTGGTCCTTCTACCAGAGGCTCTGGCTATCATGTTAGAAGGTACAGGAGCTCTTGGTCATGACTCTTCAGGAAATTTGAGAAGTAAATGAGTGAGTGGGATAGAGGGATGCTGGCTCACCATCTTCTAGAGAGCACGACAAGGACTGGGTATGGAGGAGAGCAGGGGACACCCTAGATAACAATGTTCTTATTTACTAGAGCAAAGCATATCCTGGATGGGTTTTCCAGTGTATTGGGGTAGAAGCAAGTGAACGCAAAAAAGCCTTCTTCATCACCAACTTGGGAAAAACAAGAAGGAACTGGCTTGCTCCAAGGTTTCCCTCCACCCTCTAGCTTTTAGAGAGAGAAGAAAAAGCAGACCTCATTCTAAAGTAAAGCCTGGCTCCTCGAAGTGTGACTGAAGGACCAGCAGTCCAAGCATCAGCTGGAAGCTTGTTAGAAATGCAGAAGCCCAGGCCCCAGCCCCAGCCTGCTGCCTCAGAAGCTGCGCTCTAACGAGATCCCCAGGTGATGTGCGTGCAGGGCCAAGTTTGAGAAGTCCCGCTCTAGACCAGCAGGGGGGCTAAATATTGGAATCACCTGGGGGGCTTTTTCAACAACTGATCCCACCCCCCAGGAATTCTGATTTAAATAGCCCATCTCCCTAAGTGATTCCAAATGTGCAGGAAAGGTGGTTTAGCACCCAGAGGCCTCCAGTTCCCCCATGAGAACCTTTGAAATAGCCGCAGGTCTGGATGCTGCCGCCATGGAATCAGCACAGGGGCTCCCTGAAGCCCAGGGAAGCAGCTGCCCGTCCCGGTGCAGGTAGGAGCGGGGACCACGACCGGCTGGCCACACCCAGGGGCCACAGCTCATCAAGACTGTTCACTGTGCATTTCGGAATGTGGACTCCCTGTAGAAATTTGCCATGGTAGATCAAAACATGAAGCCTGGAATGTTCTATGTCTGCGTGTTTAGCTCATCCTCAAACAAGTCTTTTGCAATTAGGGTAGCAGGAAGGTTGTCCAAAAAAGTTAGGGGCCTAAATTTGAAGAGCCAAAAAAAAAAAAAAGCCCCGAAAAACAAGAGGACAAAAAGAGGAGTTACCCTAATGAAGCGACACCCAGCAAACCCCTGCGGTGAGTCAGCACGGGGAGGCCCAGCCCCTTCGAGGGGAGCCTGGAGCTCAGCGCGGGGCTGCGCAGGGCTGTGTGTGGGCAGAAGCTGCTGCTTCTCATCCCAAGACCAAGTCTGAACAGCAACTTCCCTCCCTCAGCTGCTTGAACTTTTTTTTTTTTTCCTCTGAGGCTGGAAAGAAGTGTCACATTTTGCTCCCTCCTAAGCCCTCTCCCCACGCTTTCCCAGGGACCGTGAGCTGTGTGGAGGGCGCGCTGGGAGCCACCTCCAGCCTCGGGTGGCTGTGACTGCAGGAAGAACTTTCAGCCCCTCTCATCCTCGCACTATGGAGTTCCTCGGGAAGCCCAGGAGCCAGAGAGCTGCTTTTCTGCCTCTCTGCTTGCTCTTTTTGAAGATTCTGCACCCAGGACACAGCCATCTTTACAGCAGCAGCTATGCGGGGTAAGTGGAGAGACTCTCATGTCCCGATCAGCTTGGACTCCGGTCAGGGGGCTGGTATGCGCCCGAGTGTGCCTCACTTTCTCTGGTCCGTAGACTCTGCGTATGTAGAATCTGTATGCTTTCCTGGTCACCTAACAGTAAATGTATATGCAGTCCCTGGCTCTTTGGAGAGAATGTGGTGGACGCAAGTGTAGTTTCTCATGCTGTTTATTACGTGCCAACCTCAGCCGTGGACCACTGTTGATGGGGATTCTGTCTTTGGAATAGTGGTGGTCAGTATGTGCAGTATTTGCCTTGGTGGTTGCTCGGCAGGAAGGATGCTGTTGTGACACGTGAATTGTGACCTGAAAACTAAAGCTTCCCCTTTAGGATTGTATGCAGAAGCCGTGGGTGGAAATTCACCAGTGATTAAAAATCGTGTGGGCATTTTTTTTTTTTTTTGAGTGCTTGTTAGCCTACAGAGTGGTTATTAGATTTTCTAACCTGAGCGATGCAAATGAGTCAACTCAAAATAAGAATAAACATAGCCAACTGTAAAATTATGGGTGTTTTTCTGAAGGGAGAAACACAGAAGGGGAAAACCATTTGTATTTCCCCGCTCTGTGGGTCAGCACGCTTTGTGTTTGCTTCGCATAACGAGGCACGGGGCTGCGTGTAAAGCGGCTGGGACTGCGCATGTCCTATTATCCTGAAGAGTTGCTTCGAAATATGCAGCGAGTGCTTTGCTTGAATTTGCAAGGGGTCGTTCTTTGAATCTGGAAATTACGGCATTCCTGTATTTTAGGGCTGGAAGAGCCTTAAATAGCTCCTCTAGTTCCTTTCTACACAGGAGGAAAACCAGGGTCTTAATTTTTTTTTCTTATTTTAAAAATATTTATTTAGTTGAGGTGTAGTCGATTTATAATGTTAGTTGTTTCTTTTTTAAAATTTATTTAATTTTGGCTGTATTGGGTCTTCTTTGCGGCATGCTGGCTTTTTCTAGCTGCAGCGAGCGGGGGCTACTCTTCCCTGCAGTGCGCGGGCTTCTCATTTGCGGTGGCTTGTTGCGCAGCTCGGGCTCTAGAGCGCAGGCTCAGTAGTTGTGGCGCACAGGCTTACTTGCTCTGCAGCAGGTGGGATCTTCCTGGACCAGGGCTCGAACCCGTGTCCCCTGCACTGGCGGCCAGATTCTGAACCACTGCACCACCAGAGAAGCCCTACAATGTTATATTAGTTTCAGGTGTACAACATAGTGATTCAAAAGTTTTAGAGATTTTACTCCATTTAAAGTTATTATAAAATATTGACTATATTCCCTGTGCTGTACAATATATCGTTGTAGCTTATTATTTTATTTTTTAACATCTTTATTGGAGTATAATTGCTTTACAATGTGGTGGTAGCGTCTGCTGTATAACAAAGTGAATCAGCTATACATATATCCCCATATCTCCTCCCTCTTGCGTCTCCCTCCCACCCTCCCTATCCCACCCCTCTAGGTGGACACAAAGCACAGAACTGATCTCTCTGTGCTATGCAGCTGCTTCCCACTAGCTATCTATTTTACGTTTGGTAGTGTGTATATGTCTATGCCACTCTCTGGCTTCGTCCCAGCTTCCCCTTCCCCCTCCCCTTAAATCTTTTTAAATAGACTACAGTTGCTCAATTATGGCCAGTTGAGGAAAACTTTCATATCCATCTGAATGACGGCCAGGTGTTGAAGCAAAGTTGTTCTTCCTAGGAGTCGCGTAGAGAAGGATTTATAAGTGTGATCCTGGAAAAGAAAATTGCTTCTGTTTCTCTCCTGAAGAATCTGGGCACTGCTTTAGAGTTCCCCTGAATACAGTACTTACGGAGGAAATTGTTCCCTCAGTTTAAGGGGACGCAGGATGGGGGTGGAGGTGTTGGTGGGGATAAGGGCTAATACAATCCCCAAATTTTCCACCCCGGTGTTCCCGGGAGAAACAGGAGTTAACATCTGAGGACTGCTCTTACGTCTCCTGGACACACGGTCCGCCCTCGGAGCCCTGGGTAAGGAAAACGTGTTTAGTGACTGACGGTGCGGGCCAAGGTGTGGAGGCGTTTACTCCGACTCTTAATGGACGTCAGGCCTGTGATAAACATATCACGGATTTAGATGCGCCCGTGCGGTGCAGGACCTCGCTCCTCTGCTCAGAGGTAGCCCCGACCATAATGATTTCAGTGTGTGGCCCTCATCAATGGTAAGTGACCAGGCCTGTTTCAGGGGAGCAGGTGTGCACACTTCCCTAAACGCCACTTAGAAGAAACGAGGCCGAAGGCGGCGGCCTTTTCTTAGAGAATTTGGAATCTTTGTGGACGAAGTTGCACTACCTTTTCTGTTGTTCTGCAAAGAAAGTAATAGTTGCCATTTTCTCTTTGGCTGCTACCTAATAAGTTAGTCCCAAATGTACAAATGAAAGGTGACTGAAAGTTGGAAGAAAAAGATGAAACATGAGACACTGAAGGGAGCCTTCCCTGTCCATCACAGGAGAGCTTCTCCAAAACCAGAGAGGTTTCAGAGCATACTCACCATCGAAAATGGGGGATTTTTACCTTCCCTTCATTAGATACATATCATTCTCTCATCACCAAAGACAGAAATTCTGCCTAGGTTTGGGATTATTTTGCTCTACTTCCCCAGAAACTACTTTCTGCAAGTCTAGCTAAGAATCTGGTAGAATGACCTGGTAGAATAGTATTGAGCATTATCTTTATTGCCCATACAAATTTATCATTCTAAACCCTCATTTTTGTCCCTTAAGTAATTTGTTTTGGTGGTGTTGGTAGTAATTATGAAGCAGCCCTATTTCTTGCATTTTTGTTAAAAAAATATTTTTGTAAGTCTTGGTTGAATATAATAATTATCATTTGCAAGACTCTGAGCATGGACAAAAAACAGAACACTCAGGGCAGACCAACGTGCTTCCTGAGAGCATCTAATGAGCCTAGTCTTCTCTCTGCACAAACTGGTAACGATTGCGTGGTACCAGCTGTATCATAGGCGCTTGGGAAACAGCAGGTTTAAGCATCTCATGATAAAAATGTAGAGACTACAAGGAAAATCTGACAAAAACGAATATCTTTTTGGATAACTACATCAAATTACACACAAGGAAGATTTAAAAATACATAGGAAGGGCATGAAGCTAAGTGTGGGAAATAACTTGACATCAAATAACATTTATTGATACTCTGTATGCAGGCTTCAGGGGCTGCAAATGCACGTCAAACATTTTGATGATAAACAAACATCAGTGAATGAGACTCTGACTAGGGCAAATGTCACTCTGTGTTCTCCTTTTCCCTCGTCGCCTCGTATTCCTGGAAGCAGACCTAGTTATTTATTATACTGTGATCCTGAGGGCAAACAATAAGGATCTTCTGCTTTACATGAAATTAGGGTAGATTTTTCTAGTGATGGTAAAGGAGATCTAAGCCAGTGACACGATAAACTCTGGCAATGCTGAAGAACCAAAGTGGCTGTGATTCTTCAAGAACCACTTATTTGGTACTTTCTTCATGTATAATGTTGGTAAGTCCTGAAGTTCAACTGCCTGGCTTTCGATTTCTGCTTTCCCACACCTAGTAGCTCTGTTACCTTGGGTAAGTTCCTTAACCTCTCTGAGCCTCAATTTCTTCACCTGAGACATGGAGACAATATTAGAACCTTCCCTGCCAAGTTGTGGGGATTAAATGCAATAGCATGGGTATTGCGTGGTTCTTGGCACTTAGCGGTCTTTCCACCCTGATAGCACAGAAAGTGGCCATGGGCGTGTGCCTCATTCCTTCAGTGAGTATTATTCCGGTGCCTACTTGTGCCCAGAGCATTGGTCAGCAGAGCTGAGGCCCTCTGAGAGCTTGCATTTAGCAAAGAAAGCAGCCCCACACATAATATTAAGATGTACACAGTGCTTGAGTGCTGTATGGGATGAGCAGCCTACTGTGGGAGCGTTAAAAGAGATCTAGGCACCAAGAAGGCGGGTAGGAATCCCTTCCCAGGCCTCCCCTATTCCGGTCACCCAGCCTTCAGGTACCTGGGTTGCGGGTGGAGAGAACACAGACTTTCTGCCGCCAGAGCTGCTCCGGGGGACGGAACCCCCTGGTGCTGTGGGTCTGCCTGCGAGGCCTCCCGGACTCCTCCTTCCTCTCCAGCCCTGCGTTTGGTGAAGACCTGTTGCCTTCTCTTTTCTTTCTCGGGGAGAAGCTCCAGTGACCGGCCTCTTTCCCATGAGCATAGGCGTGTGCAGGCTGGTCACAGCCCACTTGCCCGCTGCTGCATCCTGATTAGCCAGTGTCCGTGCTGTACCCACCCCCATCCCTGTCCCCCATCCTGCCACCCCCCCCACACCCCAGTTATTTGTCAAGTTCACTAGTCATCCATGAGAACGGGACATGGAGATCCAGGAATTAGACTTGAAGGAAATAAGACTTCTTAAGGCAGTTTGGTTCTCGAAATCCTGTAAGCAAAGAGGCCCCAAATTTGGATGTGACATTGAAGAGGACTGAGAAATACACGGACTCGGGAACAGATTTGACTTCAGGGACGTCATCCCGTCTTCCACCTTTACCTCTCTAGCTAGTCCCCTCCATCTCTCAACAGAAGCTTTTAAGTCTTTTGCCCTCTGATGGTGGCTTCCTTGGAATGTTCTGAACTTCTGGAAGCCTAGGGCTAGAGCACAAGAGATGAGCTGAGAGTTATCGTCTATGTTGGTGGTTAAAGCTCTTTTCAGATCGGATGGCCATGAATCCTCACTTGCCAGGGACTGTCCTGATCTGCACCTGCTGTTCCGGGGTAGTAACTGGCAGTGTACCCCTTTCAGTCTGGCAAATTGTGGTGTCAGCCTGTTTATTCTCCACTGTGTTTCCTTAATGAGCTCTACTTTAGGTCTTCAACTATCCTCTTATTTCATTCTTTGTTTTTTGAATTGTATTTATTTTTTATACAGCAGGTTCTTATTAGTTGTCCATTTTGTACATGTTAGCGTATACATGTCAATCCC